AAGCGCCTCCCGAAGGGGGCAGGGAGAACAGGTGAAAAGGTCAGGGGTGGGTCTGTCTGTACGCCCCTTCACAGACACCAGCTCAACCCCGAGGCCGCTGTGGTCAGCTGCGAGGGCTGGAGCTCAGGGGCGGGTTAAAGCAGCCCCCTTCCCTTGACTGACAGCGATCGCGGCCAATCCCTGTCACGCAGAGGTGGGATGAACTCTGCGCTGGATAGAGGCTGCAATTTGCAAGCAGGAAGCACGTGTGTGATGATTAGTAGGTGTGTTGTGGGAAACTGCTGCTGTGCTGCCGGTTACTGCAGGCGAACCCGTCTCAATATCTTTGAGACATGTGGGTGAGTGAGTTGGGGTGGCTGGGGTTATAGGTGGAGGTGGGGAAATGTGCCAGGGAGAGGCCTGTCTATTGGGGAGTTCAGGGAGACGGGATTACAGGTTGGGGGATGTGCAGGGAGGGATCTGTCTGTGGGGGATGTGCAGGAAGGGGCCTGTCTATTGGGGTGTTTAGGGAGCTACACAGGTCGGTCGGGGGGATGTGCCTATGATCTCACAGCAAACTCCCACATTTTCTCACAGTCCCATGTGTCCTCTCATTACTTTCAGTGAGCTGAAGACAAGATGGCCTCCCTCAAGCTGGCCATTTCCCTATAGCTTTTGCACATGGAAGTGAGGTTGCCCCTAGTGGACATGGAGACTGAAGCCAGACTGTTCTCAGGGAAGATGGCTGCCTCTGTTAGGAGGCTGAACTGGAAGCCATGAGGTGACGGGAATACAGGGAACAGAACGGGGGCTGAAGATGTGCAAGTAGATATGAGGGACAGGAGGGATGAATGGGGGTACAGGGAGAGAGACAGTGACATAGGGTATATGGAGTGCAGGAGGAGATGGGGGAGGGTGGGGCAGGAGAATGTGAGGTGCAGGAGGAAACTGAAGAGAGGCAAGAGAGGAGTTGGGAACATCTTTCAAGTGCAAGGGAAAATGTGAGGGGTAAGATGCTATAAAGTGATAGGGAGGGAAACTAGGGACAGGAGTGTTGGAGGCAGAGGGGGATAATGTGAGTGGGGAGAGGAGACTTGGTGGGGTTGATAAGGAGGCGTTTAAGGGAGAGGAAAAGGTCAGTGATAGGGGAGGAGAGTGGAGAAGCATTGGCCAGTGGCTCCACCATTCTAGGGGGTAAGGGATTAGGTGGAGTCCCCCTTGGAGCCCTCAGTGGTGAGGCTGCATTCTGATTGTGCGCTTCACTTTGAATTTTGACCCTGAAATGATTTCACACACACTGGGGCCAGGCAGCTCCCGCTAAAGAATGCAAAACCAGAATGCAGTTCAGAACCTCACATGGGCTTACAGATCATTGGCGGTTTTTCTTTTTTTTAAAAAAACTTGTGATTTTGGGGAGAGGTCCCACTCATGACCAAAGGGGAGATATCCAGAAGGATTAATGTGCAGACCAAATGTACTGGCGGCAGGTGAGCGAAGTAGGGAGCAAGTGGGGAGAGTGCCAGAAATGAAGGAGAGGGAGAGAGATGAGGGGATTTCTGCATGAGAGAAGAGGCAAAGGGACATGAGCCAAGAAAAGGAGGGAACTGGGAGGAAAGGGAAGAGATTTCTGGCCTGACACAGCTGAACCCCTCACAGTTGTGAGAAAATTATGAAGCCAGGGGAGAAGGTGATCAGATTTTGGGGCTATGGATTGTGCCCCTCTGTGGCTCCTCTTGGTCCCCATTTTTTTCCTGGGTGAGTGTGGGGCTCCTTCTGGTGGTACCTCCAGTTATCATGGATGTGAGCCTGCCAGGTCGTACCCTCTGCTGGAAATGTGAGAGATTAAATCATCCCTGGATTCTCTTTCCACTCCGCAGGTGCCGGGATCCTGAGCAAAGCCGAGATACAGCCTCATGAGGAAGGGCCTGAAAACCTGGAGCTTCCTGACATGTTACAAGGGGGATCAGGAGAGACTGCTTGCCAGAGTCCTCAGCAGGAAGAAGCCTGCGAGAAGCAGAAGAGGAACCAAGTCAGGAATGTGTCAGATCCCTTAGGAGAGTGTGAGAACAGATTCAGACTTCCCCCGCCACTTTCACAGGGCAGACCTGGGGCCATGGGAGATCTTAATAGCCAAGAGAAACCCCATAGATGTATAGACTGTAGGGAAAGCTTCCATGAAGAGCAGGAACTCTTGGCCCATGGGAGAGTCCACAGGAGGGAAAGATCCCATCTCTGTGCTGAATGTGGGGAGAGGTTCAAGCATCGGTCAGAGCTTTCTAAACACCAAAGAACCCACACAGGGGAGAGCCCCCATTCCTGTGGGGAATGCGGGAAGAGCTTCCGGCATCTGGCCACGCTTGCTGTGCATCGCCAAATCCACATGGGGGAGAGACACCATCCCTGTGGTGAGTGTGGGAAGAGGTTCAGCTGCCCCTCAGATCTCAGCAATCACCAGAGGTTGCACACTGCCGAGAGGCGCTATGCCTGCCCTGAATGCAGGAAAGGATTCAATCACCCCTGCGAACTGAGCAGGCACCTGCGAATGCACACGGGTGAGCGCCCCTTCCCCTGCCCTGAGTGTGGGAAGGGGTTCAGCCAGAGCTCGGATCTCAACAAACACCTGCGGGTACATACGGGCGAGCGGCCCTTTCCCTGTGCTGAGTGCGGGAAAAGGTTCAGCAATAGGTCGGATCTCAACAAGCACCTGCGGGTGCACACGGGTGAGCGGCCCTATCCCTGCACTGAGTGTGGGAGAAGCTTTAGCCAGGTCTCCGCACTCACCCTACACCAGAGAACCCACACTGGAGAAAGACCCTACGTCTGCGACGTGTGTGAAAAAAGGTACACGCACCCATCAAACCTAATTAAACACAAGAGAATCCACATGGGGGAGTGACCCTAGGGAAGGATTTGCGGAGAGAGAGCCTCTGGTGTGCTGCCAGAGAATCAGCAGCATCACAATGGCAGATCCCAAGGGACAAAGCCTCCTTGCAGATTGAGTGCCACGCAGACTGATTTCTAGCTAGGGCCTACCAGAGAATCCAGCTAGACAAATGAGACCTTGCCAGACATGGACTTCGCTCCAGACGTATGTGTATAATAACGTGAAACTGAGGAACAGGAACCACTACTACAGAGTTTAAGAAACATTGGCCCCTGCCCCCGACTCCCACCATCTCCTCCCAGAATCAGTGGTTTAAACCCCTGGGAAGGGCTTTCTCTGAAGAGTTGTCCAGTGCCAGAAATCCCCCAGCAGCAATTAGTCCCTTACTTGCGTTTTACCAGTCAGGGGGTAGCTTGTCTCTTCTCTGCATCTGTGTGAACTCATTTTGTTCCCTGCTCTGGCTTCCTCTGTGGCTGGGATGGAGCCTACTTGGGGCTCTCTGCCTTTGGGTAAGGGAGGTTTCTTTAGATGTGTTTGGGATTCCCCTGGGACTTGCTAAGGCTGTGAGCAGGAGGAGGTAGAGAAACGGTTTGTCCCATGGGTTGGGGAGGCCCCAGCATCCACCTGAGAGATAGCTGCAGAACCTTGCACATCAGAGTCAGTTAAGATGTTTACAGATTCCAGACCTGATTGTCCTCTTACTCACAGCAGTTTTACACTGTCACTCTCTTGACTTCAGTGGAGTTACTCCTGACTTACATCAACGGGAGTCTGAGGAGGACCAGGACCAGCATCCCCTGGAAGCTGAGACTAGATTTTATTCCTGTCAGGATTCTCAGAGCCCCCTGCCTAAGTGATTTGAGGGGTAGATGTGACCTTGGGGTAGGATCAGGCTGTTGGTGTCTGAGGACTGTTTGGAACGTCCCTGCAGATTTAGGATCTCTCCTTGGTGGAGTCCCTCCCCTTCCAGAGACTCTTCTCATGGGAGCCATGTAGTAGTTCTGCATGGTATTTTAATCCTACACTTCTAGGATTGCTGACCATATTTCTGCAAAGGAAGCAATGCTGTAACTTGCATGGGAGGTGCTTTCAGGCTTCCTGCAGCTCATTGGCCCAGACAGAAAAGTTACCTCGTTCCTTTGGCCTTTATTTTATTTTCAGAGCATATTTTTTGGCAATTCGTGTTGTGCTGAACATGACCACAGTCCCTTTTCTTACTGCACCCTCTCCCCATATACTTGATCCTGAACCCATTATAGCCTGCGTTTTAATGTGGATTTGATTGTTTGGTATCACTAGGCCTGGTGTTTCCTTCCCAGATTCATTTAAAACTCCAGTTGCTAACAGAAAAATTAATTACAACTCTAAGATTAAGAGAGACCCTGAATTTTCCCACTTTCAGTGACTTGAAATGTTTGCAAACTCTGGCTTTATTGAAGCCAGCCTAGGAAAAGGTTGTTCAGGATTCAAAATAAATGATGTTTCCTTAGCTCCAATACTCTCCTTATATGTTTTCATCTACTGATTTCTTGTGGTGTTGGCACTCATAAATGCAGATCCAGTGGATAAGGGTCTGTCTACACAGAGTCAGGAGCACTAAGTAACAAGATGATGGGTTACATGCCTCACAGTGGCTTTAGGCTATGTCTACAGTATGCACCTTTTAGTGACACAGCTGTGCTGCTACAGCCATACTGCTAAAAGGTGCGCAGCGTAGTCGCTCTTTGTCGGCAGGAGAGCGCTATTCACACCGGTGCTTTTCGTTGGTAAAACTTTTGTCGTTCGGTGGGGGGGCGGGCGGGAGGTTTCACTGACGAAAGTCCAGTGTAGACAAAGCCTTACCCCAGTGTCCTAGATCTTCCTGTATTCATCTATATAGCATGGGAATAATGCAAGTCACAACACTCAGGCAAAGGAAGCTGCAACAGAGTGTGAATTACACAGTTCTTTAAGACCAGAAAGGACTTTTATGATCACCTAGTCTGACTTCTTCCATAACACAGGCTGTAGCATTCACCCAGTGAGTTCCTCCATCAAGCCTGATTAAAATGTGTCTTTCAGGAAGACATCCAATCTTGATTTATCAGGGGGTAGCTGTGTTAGTCTGTATCCACAAAAACAACAAGGAGTCTGGTGGCACCTTAAAGACTAACGGATTTATTTGGGCGTAAGCTTTTGTGGGTAAAACACCACTTCTTCAGATGCATGGAGTGAAAATTACAAATGCAGGCATTATATAATGACACATGAAGGGAAGGGAGTTACCTCACAAGTGGAGAAACAGTGTTGACAGGGCCAATTTGATCAGGGGTGATCATAATGGTCCCTTCTGACCTTAAAGTCTATGATTCTATGATTACCAATTAAGGGACAGTGCTGTAGGTTAGACAAGTGACTAGGGAAGGAGTTAAGTACACAGCACTAATGACTGAACTGACAGGGAGTGCTGTTAAATTCATTATAATCAGGTGAACAGGAAATCATATAAATAAATCAGAACAGCAGCAAATGAGGTACATCAGTGAGTTACATACTGAGGCTCCATTCCCAGGACTGGGATGCAGCTAGGGCCAGTGAGGCAGAGCAGGGAAGATGGCAGTGACACAGCTGGTCAGTGGTGGTGGCAGAGGGGCTAGATTGCCTGTCACGGAGGTGCAGTCCCTGGTGCTTCCTACTGAGTTACAAATCAGGCATTGCAGGGGCCAGGCAGTGAGAGGTGCTGCTAGCAGAGTGCTGTTGGGAAGCAGGGCCGTTTCTCCTGTGGCGTTGATAGAGCTCAACCTTGGAAAACAAAAATTCTTTCTCTTCTGGCTGGCCTGCTTTGCTTATGGGTACTACAAATACACACCTGCCCCAGAACAGCAGAAAGGAAACCAGTGCTCTCCTATCACCTTACCTCCTTTCTGCAGCACTTCAACATATAGAGAGAGATATACAAGAGCTAGGTGTTATTAGTAAAAGCAGGTAAGAACAGAATATCTTCTGGAAGTTTCAGGCACTGGGACTCCACTTAAGCCTCCCTCATTCTCCTGTAGGATGTGAGGGGGTGATGATGGCATAAGGGAGGGCGGAGGGCTGATTTCCCTCAGGCTGTGTAGTAGTGGCTCATGTTCTTCTTCTCCAATCGCACATATAGGCTAACAGGAGCGGAGCTCTTGGTTAGTCTATAGTCTAAATATGGTCCCACTTGTTTCTGGCTGCGGCTCTGGCGTGGATTCTCTGGTGACGGGCCAGAGAGGATTTGTTACTGAAGCTCTTCCCACACTCAGGGCATGGGAAGGGCCGCTCGCCCGTGTGGGAGCGCTCGTGCACGGTGAGATCAGCGAGGTACTTGAAGCTCTTCCCACACTCAGTGCATGGGTAAGGCCGCTCCTCGGTGTGGCTTCTTTGGTGTTTAGTCAGGTTGGAGAGCTGGCTGAAGCACTTCCCACACTCGGCACAGGGGTAGGGCCGCTCACCTGTGTGGGAGCGCTGGTGCTTATTCAAGTCTGAGGGGTGAGTGAAGGTTTTCCCGCACTCAGCACAGGAGTAGGGTCTCTCCCCTGTGTGCAATCTCTGGTGAGTGGTCAGTGTGGAGAGGTGGCCAAAGCGTTTCCCACACACTGAACAGAAATAGGGTTTCTCTCCTGTGTGGGTTCTCTGGTGTGTTTTGAGATGAGCTAGGCGGTTGAAGCTCTTCCCACATTCAGCACAAGGATGAGGCCTCTCACTCCTGTGGACTTTGCCATGCTCTGTAAGCTTCTGTTTTTCCCAGAACCTTTCCCCACAGTCTGTACATCTGTGGGGTTTCTCTGTCCTGAGAAAATTGCTTTGACGGTAATGGTCCCCTATGGTCCGAGGTCGCCCTGGTGCAGGGAGCTGGGTTAGTCTCCTGAATCTGCTCTCACATTCCCCTGAGGGATCTGTCTCGTGTGCTGGGCTCCTCTTCTGCCTCTTGCAGGCTCCTCCCTGCTCACATTTGTGGGTAACACTCTCCCCTGATCCCCTTTCCGGTACGCTGGGCAGCAGCAGGTTTTCAGGCCCTTCATCACGAGGCTGCTCCTCAGTTCTGCTCAGGATCCCAGCACCTGGATGGAAAGGAGAATCTATTTCATGTGCTGCTGTTGTAAAGGAAAGTCACTCGTCTCATGGCCATGACTGTGGCAGCCTCACATCCTCCCCACTGGAGATACCCCAAGAGGAACCCCAGAGTCAGCCACACAGAAATGGGGCTGAGGGGAGCTGTGGAGGAGGAAAAGTCAGGAAGGTCCACATCCCCATTCTTCATTCCCTTCCTTTTTCCCCTCAGACCCCACCAGAAGGTTTTTACAGCCTCCTTCTCCTCCCCTTCAGCCCCATCACCTTGCTAAGCACCATACCACCCACGCTATACAGGCTTCTTTGCCAGCAGGATTTCTCAGCCCATCAGCGCCATAATGCCCAGTGCTGGGGCTCATTCTCCAGGCTTTATTTTTACTATATAATACATTACACCAGTATGTGCAGATATTCTTGTCCCTGAGTTTGGCAGTGAATTCAGAGGGCCTGAATTCAGAGGGCTCCTGCATTCCCACTGCTACAGCTCCCAGAATGCCAGGAAGGACACAGAGGATAGTTCAACATTGTGGGGGCGGGTGACAAGGACTAGGGTCTGCACAGCTATTCCTCTCATGGCCAGCCCCACCTCAATCACTGCTAAGGCACCGGAGCTTTCCTGGCCCAGGGATGATTAACTGTGACCCACAATACCTACTCTAAATTCCCTTAATGAGCACCCACTGCCACCATGCAGCCCCCTCTCTTTCTCAGGCATCAGTCTTGCTTACCTGTAGATGAAAGGCTCTATACAAAATTACAGTTCTCCAGAGCCATTGATTTACCCTCCACAGACCCTCTGACTTAGGGGTTCCCTTGTTACTGTCATCTGTGCCCCCTTCCCTTGCCCCACACCTCCCCGTGGTGAGAAGAACGCCCCTTATTCTCTGTACGTGGCTTATTACCAGTTTCCTGTAGCGCTTGATTCTCCTCGGCACAGGGCAACTTGGACTTGTTTTGTCCAACCTCCTCGGGGGAGACGCACTTGTGACTGGGTTGCAGTTGCTCCAGCTGGGAGTTCTCAGATTCCCATAATGCTTCAGGGGTCTCCATTTCCTCAACCTTTACGCACACTGTGACCTAGGAATGAACCCCATACAAGCACATCACTTTGGAGCCAGGGCCAGAGATTCATGGGGAGGAGCTGTACTGTATCTAAAAGGCCATGCTGTCAAAGCGCTCCTAGCCCCTAACAGGGTCAAGGGGACTTGGAGGACCTGCCTCACTAAAGTACAGACTCATCCCTCTGATGAGCTGAAGGGGAAGCCACAGAGGTTAATTTATTGGAGCCATGTCCTGTCCCAGCCAGTCAGGGCCAACATTGCAACTGGCATCCATGCAACTGGGGCCTTGTAAAGGACTGACAGGACATTACAGGCATCAGGCACTCCACTCTCAATGTGCCTGGAGGGCTTCCAAAGCATTCAAATTGGCAGCGTCCCACCTTGCCCCCTTGACCGCTGTCTGAATCACCTGTCCTGTGGATTTGGCCACCCTGCAGTAGGGGCTGATAACATCTTGTAGATCCGCAAAAAGAACAGGTGTACTTGTGGCACCTTAGAGACTAACAAATTATCCTCAAATAAATTTGTTAGTCTCTAAGATGCCACAAATACTCCTGTTCTTTTTGCAGATACAGACTAACACGGCTGCTACTCTTAATCTTGTAGATCACATCTGCATCTCAGGCTTTGTTACCAAATGGAACGCCACGAGCTTTTCCTCTCAGTCTTGCACACCCACACGTTTCCTGGGCATTCAGGCAGAGTCCTACCCTCGCTTTGAAAATCACTAGAGCTCCCAGGTGCACGTGTATGCATATTTATACCCTCTCAGGCTTTTAATAATGTTGCCCTTGTTGAGTAAAAATGGCTCCTTCCTTGCCCCCTTTCCATAGCTGCAACATCCAAAATAACCTGCTGAACAGCATGTTTAAACACAGTAACCAAATCTCCCTCTCACCTTCCCCAATCAGACTGGGGCTTCACTATTGATCCAAGCCTTGGTGAGGCACTGAGTGCACTGTAACAGCAGCCACAGTTGCTCATGATGGGCCTGCTGAGAGGTACTGAGTGAAGGGGACAGGTGGGAGGTGGCAACATTTACAAAGAGAGAACACCAGGATCTGCAGAGCAGAGCATCACAGACCAGGGAGCTCTGGAAATCCCTGTAACTGGGGACCCAGCTGAGTCCTGAGTCCCAGGCAGCCCAGACCCCAGTGCTGAGAGCAGGATTACACAGAACAAGCCCCACTCATGTCCTGCCTTGAGAATTCCTATGTTCACCCAGTGCTCAAACCTGCCCCGTCAAATTCCCTGCAGAGCCCAATGGACATTCCCCTGCACCTGCTCTCACCTGCTGCTCCCACACTCCAGCCTCTCGCTGTCCCAGCTGGAAATCCTCGGCCAGGGACACAGCCTGGGCGCAGGTTTCCGGGTGGCGTACCCAGACCCAGCTCTGGATTTCCTCAGGCAGGATGGTCAGGAACTGCTCCAGGATCAGCAGCTCCATAATCTGCTCCTTGGTGCGGATCTCCGGCTTCAGCCATTGATGGGAGAGTTCCCGCAGGCGGCTGCAGACCTCTTGGGGCCCTTTTGCCTCCTGGTAGCGGAACTGCCTAAAGTGAAGGCGCTGCATCTCCGTGAAGATGTTGCAGCCTCGCAGGATGGCTGCCTTCACCTTCCCATAGTCTCGGGCGTCTCTGGCATCCAGGCTGCTAATGGCCTGTTGGGCTTTTCCAGTGAGGGATGGCAGGAGTCGGGTCACCCACTCTCTTCTGGGCCAGTGGCAGGCTTCAGCCACTCGCTCGAAGGAAGCCAGATAGACCTCAATGTCATCCTCTGGTGTGAGCTCAGGCAGTTCTGGGTTTCCCCAGGCCCAGGCTAATGCCGGTACAGCCTCAGGAGAGGTCCAGGGGGCTCGCAGCATGTCCTGATTTTGATTTTCCCCATGCTGGGGGATCTTCTCCCGTTGCTCAGAGCTGGATTTTTGTTGTCCTGTCCGGGACAATGGGGGACTTGCTGAGATGGGTGGCATCACAGCAGCATCTTTCCCTTCTCTCTCCGATTCCTTCCCTGGTTTGGGGCCTGCTGGATTTTCTGTTTCCACTTTGACATGCGTTAGCACCACTTGTTGTAGTGGACCCTGGATCTGTAGCCCCAGAGGCTTCCGACCACGATGCTTTGCAGCCATTTTGTGCCTTGTGAAAACAGCCTTATCCCAGTTGAGGTAAGTGCTCTAGTTTTCAAACCTGCATCTCTCCCTTGTTCCTGCTGGAATGGTACATACTCCTGGGGCTCCTGCAGCAAAACACTGACTAGGGATTTCACTGTGTAACAAGGACCCCAGTAAACAGAAGGGAAAAGAGACACCCAGGCCTGATTCACCCAAACAGCCAGCTCCCCTTCAGCACAGACTAGCCCCCCTGCTGACCCCTAATCCAGTACTGATAACTAAGCACTCAAAAATCACGAGTTTAGCTTTATCACCATGAGATTTACAATGATAAATGTCGAGTTCTGTTTTGCACCCTGTAGGATTCAGGTTTCCAAGCTTTTCTCTGCAGCCTTGTAGGAACTTACTACTTCGTTCATTTTAACCCATGCAGGGACTGAGCTGAAGCTCTAACAACATCATCACATATCCGGGGTCTTGTGATAAGCTTGTGAGTACTGGCAATAATGGTCATTTCAGCTCCCTGCCCCGCTCCCAGCACAGGAAGGCCCCTCCCTGAGTCCCTGACCCCCATCCAGCCTGACCCATATCCCCAGCTCCCTGGCTCCCCAGCACAGCCAGAATCCTCCCCCAGCACAGCCAGACCCCATATCCCCAGGTCCCTGCCCCCCCTCCCAGCTCCCTGGCCCTCCAGCACAGCCAGACCCCTGCCCATATCCCCAGCTCCCTGGCCCTCCAGCACAGCCAGACCCCTGCCCATATCCCCAGCTCCCTGCCCCCCCTCCCAGCTCCCTGGCCCTCCAGCACAGCCAGACCCCCTTACCCATATCCCCAGCTCCTTGCCCCCCACTGCCCAGCCAGACCCCTGCCCATATCCCCAGCTCCCTGCCCCCCAGCACAGCCAGACCCCATATCCCCAGGTCCCTGCTCCTCCCCCCGCTCCCTGGCCCCCCAACACTGCCAGACCCCCTGCCCATATTCCCAGCTCCCTGGCCCCCCAGCCCAGCCAGACCCCTGCCCATATCCCCCAGCCCCCTCCCGGAACCCCAGGTCCCGGCCGTCCCCCCGCCTCACCTCGCCGCCCCGCCCGGACGCAGGGGGAGGCCGGCCCGGTTCCCCAGACAAAGAGGTTCCGCCCCGGCCAGCGCAGGGTTAATCTCCAGCGCGAGGATTGGCCGCGATCGCTGTCAGTCAGAGCCCGGCCCGTCCCCCGCTCGGCCGACTCGGGGGCTCAATCCCTAGAGCCGGGCAGGGGGCAACGGGCCAGAGCTCGCCCTTCCCTCCCCCTCCCCCACACACACATCTGGGGCTGCCCGTCTGCAGGCGGCTGGGACTGTGGCTCCCGGGCAGGGGACCCTGCAGCCTTGGGCAGGGGGCTCCCCGCAGATAGCTGGAGACCCCTGCCCAGGGCCAACTCCTTTCCAGGATCACCAGTCAAGGGGATCCAAAGGGGCCACTTCCCCCCAGCATCTTCCTCGGACTGCCCCCTGTAGGGGCTCTGAAGACACCCTGCCCCGGACACCCCTTAGTTCTCAGGAACCTGCCAGCCCTGACCTGGGAAACCCCATTTCAGGGCCCTCTGTCCTCTCTAGCCCCTTTCTCAGCTCCCCTCTGAGTCCTCACACACTCGTCACTGGAATGAACAAAAGCAACAGGGTAAAAATCCTGTCTGCAGGTTTGTCCGATCGTGGCTCCCACTGGCTGCAGTTTGCTGTCCCAGGCCAATGGAAGCAGCGGCCAGCACATCCCTCAGCCTGTGCCACTTCCCGCCGCCCCCATTGGCCTGGAACGACGAACCGCAGTGGGAGCCGCGATCAGCCAAACCTGCGGACACGGCAGGTAAATAAACCGGCCCGGCCTGCCAGGTTGCTTACCCTGGCGAGCCACGTGCCAAAGGTTGCCGACCCCTGCCATATTTGTTCCCAGTGTGGTTGAAGGGCGAGGAATTGACCTCAGAGGAGATAGCACCTCCTGGAGCATTATGGCAATCTCAGAGCTCCCAGCCTCAGTGATTGCAGCCCTGTGCAGGGGGAGGCAGAGTTGCCAGGCAGTATTTGGTGGGGGATTTTTTGAGTTTCTCACCATCGCGTAGTTCGTGGCATCAAGTCTGTGAATATTCCCCTATTCAAAATGGCCATCATCTCCCATTATTTCCCAAATTGGCCTCAGTCAAGATAGTCCCCATTTTCCTGCAGCCTATGTGTGTGGCAGTGAGGCTACCCTTGGTATAGGAGACTGCCCCTGCCAACTCCCATGGTTTTCAAGGAAACTGAAGCCAAACTTCTCAGGGAAGATGGCTGTGGCTCAGTGGTCAGAGGGCCGGGGGGGGAAACGAGGAAATGGGACTGCAGGGAGGAAGACGAGCTAAGGCAGTGATTCTCAAACTTCTGTATTAGTGACCTCTTTCACACAGCAAGCCTGTGTGCAACTGCCCCTTATAAATTAAAAACACTTTTAAAAAATATTTAACACTATTATAAATGCTGGAGGCAAAGCAGGGTTTGGGAGTGGAGGCTGACAGCTGCAACTGCCCATGTAATAACCTTGCAACCCCCTGAGGGGTCACAACCCCCAGTTTGAGAACTCCTAAACTAGGGGCAGAGCCCCTCTGAGCAGCCAGTAGGCAGGCTGCCACAGCAGTTTGGAAGAGGGATTTCTAGAGCTGAGGCTGAGGCCTGGGACCTCTGCTGTTCCCTGGACCCTCCTACTTCCTTCTGATATCTTCCCCAGTAGTGTAAGGCTCCAGGACCTTTCCAGGAAGAGGTGAGCTCCTCCTGTGGCCAGCCCCATGTGCCCGTCCGTGCCACCTGCTTGCACTATAGGTCCATCTACATTTTGAGCAGGGGGTGCAATTTCCAGGTCGAGGAGCCCTAGCCACATTAGCTCTGATTGAGCTGGTGTGCTAAAATAGAGTGTAGCCATGGCGGTGTGGGGGCTAGCTGTCCTGAGAACGTGCCAGGCATCTTGTTGGACCGGTATATGTGGGCAGCTAATCCCTCCCACCACTCCAACTACACTCTATTTTTAGTATGCTGGCTCAAACAGAGCATCTCCTCAAGCTGTGAGTTACATCCCAGGTTGAAGTGTAGATATATCCTATGTCAGACAGGCCTCAGTGTCATCTGTTCCCTGGGCAGTGGGAGTGTAGGACTTGGGATCCAGCCCCTGTCCTGGCTCAGAGCCACACTGAGATCAGGAATATGTATGAGTTGTTGGAGATGGCAAAAGCTAACCTAGACCTGGCTCCTCTTCCTCCACTTTCACTGGAGTCTCTCTCACTCCTCCTATGAAGTCTACAAAGCATGTCTTGTCCCCCTCCAGTCTTTATTCATGGCCCTTTTGCTCTTCTTTTGGCAACTCACGATGTCCTTGGAAAAGGACATTCTGCAATTCCATTTTGACATCTCAGGGTTGCTTTCCTGCGACATGCATGTTTCCAACACCGAGTCCTCAGCAGCAGCTGTCACAGCCCTTTCTGAGGATTTGGCCAATGGCTAGCCTGTTAGTCAGGGGTCGATGGCAGTGGCAATTCCTGAGTCTTGTCTCCATTACAGCTACCCCTGTTCCTTCCCAGAGAGCAGGTGCACCAGGAGTGAGTTATGACCTAACTTGCCAAGTCACACACTCATCCACACTGAGAACAGCTGGGCTGCAGGAAGCCAGGCATCCAGTCACAATGCACAAGACTCACTAACTACCTTGGAGTTGAAGTTTCAAGTCTGGTTTTACTTTGCTGGTTCAGGGAGCCCAACACTCCAGGACACGTGATGTCTGCATGGGAACAGCAAGATGCCTGCTCCAAAGGGTGAATATCTCTTCCAGGCACCCCGTGCAGATGCAAAGATGCTGGGCTGGCATCCATTCTGGCTACCCTGGTTCTTACACCTGTAACATTTTGAGGTAAGTGACACCAATTGTCTCCTCCCTACTGTAAATTCTCAAATACTGTAATGTCTTCTCTGGAGTGTTAGGTCCCTTATCCCCACTGTGTAGTTCCGCCTGGACTGCAAACAAAAGATGGTTAGGGGGTGGAGAGGCTGTCCCTTTATCACATGATATGGAAATCATGGGAATATAGGAATTGCCAGACTGGATCAGACCCAAGGTCCAGCTAGTCCTGTATCCTGTCTGACTGTGGCTAGCATCAAATGCTTCAGAGGCTGGTGTAAGAACCCCCACAGTAGCAGATATAGGACAATCCATTCCCACAAAGTCTTATCCTGATTGCCTACAATTAGAAATTGGTTTAAACCCAGAAGCATGAGGTATAATATCATCACCATTATTTTGTTTGTAATAATTATTGTAACTGGATATAAGAATATCCACATATGTATCCAATCCTTTTATAATCTTGCTAAGTTTTTGACCTCAAGGACTTCCTGTGGCAATGAGTTCCTCCGTCTAAATTACATGCTGTGTGAAAAAGTATTTCCTTTTATTATTTTTCAGTGTGAGTGTGCTAATAACATTTGCAGGTGACACAAAGTTGGGAGGTATTGCCAATATGGAGGAAGACCAGAATATCATACATGAAGATGTGGATGACCTTGAATACTGGATAGAAATGGGATGAAATTTAATAATGCAAAGTCATGCATTTAGGCACTAATAAGAATTTTTGCTATAAAGTGGGCACCTTATCCGTTGGAAGTGACAGAGGAAGAGAAAGACCTGAGTGTGTTAGTTGATCACAGAATGTCCATGAGCCATCAATGTGATGCAACTGTGAAAAAGGCTAATGCAATCCTACGATGCATCAGATGAGGTATTTTCAGTAGACCTAAGGAAGTGTTATTACCATTATACAAGGCACTGGTGAGACCTCAGCTCGAGTACTGTGTGCAGTTCTGGTCTCCCATGTTTAAGAAAGATGAATTCAAACGGGAACAGGCTATTAGGATGATCAGAAGAAAGAAGAACCAACCTTAGGAGAGGAAACTTAATGATCTTAAGTATCAGCGGGTAACCGTGTTAGTCTGTATCCACAAAAACAAGGCGTCCGGTGGCACCTTAAAGACTAACAGATTTATTTGGGCATAAGTTTTCATGGGTAAAAAACCTCACTTCTTCAGATGCATGGAGTGAAAGTTACAGATAATGCCTGCATCTATAACTTTCACTCCATGCATCTGAAGTGAGGTTTTTTACCCACGAAAGCTTATGCCCAAATAAATCTGTTAGTCTTTAAGGTGCCACCGGATGCTTTGTTGTTTTAATTATCTTAGCTTGTTCAGCCTAATCAGACAAAGGTTGAGAAAATATATGATTGCTCTCTATAAATGCATCAGAGGGATAAACACCAGTGAGGGAGAGGAGATATTTAAGTTAAGGGCCAATGCTGACACAAGAACAAATGGATATATTGGCCCTCAGCAAGTTTAGACTTCAAATTAGATGAAAGTTTCTAACCATCACAGGAGTGAAGTTCTGGAACAGCCTTCCAAAGGGAGGAGTGGGGGTAAAAAAATCTAACTGGTTTCAAGACTGAGCTTGTTAAGTTTATGGAGGAGATGGTATGATAAGGTTGCCTACAATGTCATCTGGCCCATCTGAGAGTGCTAGCAGCAAATCTCTCTAATGGCCAGAGATGGGAAACTAGAGGGGGAGGGTTCTGAGTTAGTACAGAGAATTCTCTCTCAGGTGTCTGGCTGGTGGGCCTCACCTACATTCACAGGATCCAACTGATCTCCGTATCTGGGGTAGGGAAGGAATATTGGCAGAGTCCCTGGTGGTTTTTCACCTTCTTCTACAGCATGGGTCACTTGGGGTTATGAACTAGAGTAAATGGTGGCTTCCCTGTAACTTGAAGTCTTTGTCAAGATTTGAGGACTTCAGTAACTCAGCCAGAGATTAGGGGCCTATTACATGAGCGGTTGGGTGAGGTTCTGTGACGTGTGTTGGGCAGTAGGACAGACTAGCTGATAGTCTCTATTGGCCTTAGAGTCTATTCATCTAATTTGCCCCCCTTTAGTTTCATTCAGGGTCCCCGCGTTTATGTGTTATGAGACAAGGAGAATAGAGAATTTCCTGATCTATCTTCTTTATTCCTGTTATTTTATATGCTATTATCTTGCCTGCTCTTATTCATCTCCTTGCTAAGGGAAACAACCCCCATCTTATCCATCTCTCTTCATAGGAGAGTTCTTCCAGGCCTTGATTATTCCCTTCATTATTCTCTGAACCTCCTTTAGTTATGCAATATCTTGTTTGCAACAGGGTGACCTAGTTCAGCACATAGGATCCAGATCAGGCTGCACCACTGATCCTCATGTTGCCCAGTGTCCCGATGCACATCTCAGTCTCCCCTATAAGTGTCTGAGGTCTCCCCTCCCCAGTCGTCCCAATTTCTGCCTCTCTCCCTTACTGTTCGACAAACTGAAACCCCCCAGGAGTCTGATAAACCATCATTATAGTGATTGGGAAGTCAGGACTGCAGATAACAAGAAACAAAAATGACAAAGGGCAAATGACACAGGATAGCTAATTAAGGGACATAATAATGCAGTTAGACCATGTCAGGTGACTAATAAGAATTAAGTATGTAGAGCAATAACCAATAATGAACACTATTCACTTAATTACAATGACTGTTCACACGATTCAACTAAAAAATACCAGCAATTCAGAAAAGCAGCAGACGAGGTAGGTCAGTCAATAAAAATAAAGGCCCTGATCTTGCTTGTGGAGAGCTCATTGCAGGATCAAGATTACATGCTCAAAATCTCAGAAGAAACAGCTAAAGCGGCAGTTGTACTGATGGGCAGTTGAGCAGTCACACAGTATGGACACACACACATACACACACTGCAGAGACAGAGCAGTAAATAAAGAGTTAACATGGCAATGAGCAGGGCAGGAGCAGCAAACTAATGAGGCAATGAACAAACACACACAATTAATTACATAGCAAACATAAATGCTTAGTTTGGGACAGGAAATAGCAGGAAGCTCCTCTCAGGAGATGGGATGATGCGGCAGACTTTGGGCATAGTTACAGAGTGACATTGGAGGGCTTGGAAAGTCTGGAGTGTGGAGAGGGTGGTTGTTCAGGCCACAGAGGCAGAGCTGGTTGACACAGATGTGGCCAAACACCTCCCCCTGGATCCACAGTTCCCAGCAGTGCTGGGTCTGATGTCACCTCGTGAGTTTGACATAAGCAGCAGCCCTTGAGGAATTCTTTGGTTCTTTTTCCTCATAGAGCTGAGAGATCTTGGGCCTCCCAACCCCTGGGAGAAATCCCTTCCCTATCTCGAGTGACCTGCTCACAGCCTGGGCAAGTCCCTAGATTATAACAAACACACACACACCCCACCCCACCCCAAAACAGCAGAAATACAGAGAGCCTGTAGTAGGCCTCAGACCAGCCCTTAGAGAAGCTACAGGGAAACCAGAGCAGATTAACTGATGTTCATGTGGACACAAGAGACAGGCTGCTCAATTGCTAAGTAGAGTAGGTAAGGGAGCAGTCCCTGCTCAGGGGTTTCAGGAGTTGGGACTCCTCAGAGCATAAGGTGAAGCCACCTTCTGTTCTCCTGGTTCTTAATCCACCTCATGCGGTCTGTGAGGGAGAGATGGAACTGGTACTGGGAGAAGGGGGCTGATTTCTCCCAGTTCCTGCACTAACTGTTTCCATTCCTCTACTTCACATTATTATACACACACAGCTGGAGTGGTGCTCTTGGCCAGCAGGTCTCACTTGTTTCTGGCTGCGGCTCTGGCGTGGATTCTCTGGTGACGAGCCAGAGAGGATTTGTTACTGAAGCTCTTCCCGCACTCAGGGCATGGGAAGGGCCGCTCACCCGTGTGGGAGCGCTCGTGCACGGTGAGATCAGCAAGGTACTTGAAGCTCTTCCCACACTCGGTGCAGGGGTACGGTCTGTCCTCGGTGTGACTTCTTTGGTGCATTGTCAGATTTGATTGCTGGCTGAAGCGCTTCCCGCACTCGGCGCAGGGGTAGGGCCGCTCGCCCGTGTGGGAGCGCTGGTGCTTGTTGAGGTCCGAGGGGTTGGTGAAGGTTTTCCCGCACTCAGCACAGGAGTAGGGTCTCTCCCCTGTGTGCAGTCTCTGGTGCGTGGTCAGCGTGGAGAGGTGGCCGAAGCTTTTCCCACACTCCCCACAGGAGTAAGGTTTCACTCCCGTGTGGGTTCTCTGGTGGGTTCGGAGATGGGTCAGTCTGTTGAAGCTCTTCCCACATTCAGGACAGGGATAGGGTCTGTCCTTCTCATGGACTCTCCCATGGGCCATGAGGTCCTGCTTCTCCCAGAACCTTTCTCCACAGTCTCGACATCTGTGGGGTTTCTCCATCCTGTTAACGCTGCTTGCCTGGCTTTTAAGATCTCTTACGGCCCCGGGTGTCCCTTGAGCAGGGAGCTGTGGGAACACCCTTGGCGGAATTCGCTCGTTCCCAGCTGAGTTTCTCTTCTGCCTCTTGCAGGCTTCTTCCCGCTCAAGTCTGCGGGCGACACTCTCTCCTGATCCGCCTTGCGATGTTCGGGCCAGATCTAAGTTTTCTTGCTCTCCCAAATTCTCCGCTCTGCTCAGGATCCTGGCACCTGCTGGGTGGAAAAGAGAATTTGTGTGAGATCCTGCTGTTGTCAGGAGGAATCACTTTTATCCTGGCAGCAGGTGTGACTGAGGCAGCTTCAGGTCCCACCCTAGAGGAGATACCCCCAGCAGAAGCCCCACAGTCAGCAATGCAGAAATAGGGGCCAGAGGCTCACTCGTGATTTCCATTTCTTTCTTTCCTGTCAGCTCCCCAATTTTCTTTCTGCAGCTCAATCCACACAGACAGCACTGGCCAAACTCTTTACTAGTCTGCTCCATTCTACAGAACCTTTCCCAGCTGTTGTTAGGTGTCAGTAGGAGGCAATCAAGCTCCCTCTGCTTCCTACAAAAATCCGCATAAAGATACTAATCATACGCGAGCCCTTCTGCTGAACTATGCCAGGGAAACAAACTGGGTCTCCGTGTGTTACACTGCAGGCACCTGATACTGTGGGGAGGAATCAGAGAGGCTCCATGACCCAACATTACCGCTGCCTGGAGACAGTGTTCAGCCCAGGATGCCCCATCCCATCAGCCCAGTAATGCTTGTGCCATCCTGGATCACATGCTCTAGGCAATACTTCACTATTGTGTCGCTTACATCAGTGTCTCAGAGACATTTCCAATGTAGCACTAAGCCCAGAGAGGGGGTGAATTGCGGTTCCTGCACTCCCCCTGCCAAAACGTGGATACCAAGGACTCAGCACTGGCCATGAGAAACAGCCATGCAGCCTGGACTCAGCCCTCTCTGCTAAGGCCCTGCAACCTAGCACTACCAGAGGTGATGGACTGATTGCCTCTGAGGACACCAGTACAGCAGCCATCTGTCCCAGGAAGCTGTGTCCGAAGGAAGCTACATGCAGGGGCTTGGGTCCCTGTTGACATCTACTGGAGAGAGTCTGTGTGAGACAGATAATAGACAGACGTGGCTGTAGAGATACTGAATGCAGCCAGGTGAATGGCACAAGGGAAAGGCTGGGGAGCCATCTGACTAGGACGATGGCTGCACATGCTGAGACCAGCAAAGGGCATCAGCCTCCCAGTGGACAAGAAGCAGTGAGGCTGGCAGAGAAGCATCAGATTGTTCCCCCAGCGCCTACGGGCCGGCCAGGGTGGGAATGGAAAAGCCTGGCACAGCAGGAATCACAGGGAGCACCTTCTCTGTTATCCACCTGGCTGTTACCAGCCTTGCTGGATATGGCACTGCCCAAGGCATGATTAGACAGCTCTGCAGATCAACCCTTATAACAGTTAGTGCATCACAGGAGTTTACGCTGGGTGCATGAGAGCGAGCAGGACAGTCCTAAAGCTGCCTGAGAAGGGTCAGGGACAGCTGGGGGTGGGACCTCCCCTACTAATAGGGATCTCTTGGGTGGGACTTAGCACCTTTGCTAGATTGTGGAGGAACAGCTGAACACATCTGCTGAAGAAAACCTGGAAGGAGCCCAGAAAACTGCCCAATCATCATGCCCAGAAGGGGTAACTGCTCCCAGAGCAAACAGTGCTGTGATGGCTGCTTGATGAGACCAGTTGCCTGGTAGCACCTGCTAAGGGTCTATGGAAGAGAGGCCCAGTGATAACATAAAATAATGATGCCAGAGAGAACTAAACCCCAGCAATTTCTTCCCCTCCCTTCAGCAGGTTCCTCAAAGAAAGCGGCTCCTCAAAGGATGCCTTGAATGGGAGAGACACAGGTGGAGGGGAAGGTGAACAGAGAAGATGCCACCACCGGAGGAGGGAAACCTACCACCTGACTTGATGCACAGGAGGCAAGTCAGCAGTAGGGGCTATAAGAAAGGCTGGGAAAGGGTCCACAACTGTTATAAGCCAAGTCAGGGAGCACCCACCTGCTGGACAGAACATTTCTGTAAAGGTGAACAGTCCCACCCAACAGTGTCTGCACAGAGCCCCTGGGTCAGGTCAGACAGTGAGAAACATGCCTGAGCCCACAGGCGCCAACTTTTGTTGGTGCCGGTGGGGTTCGCGCCCCCCACCCCGGCCCCAACTCCGGCCCCGCCCCGACTCCGGCCCCTCCCTGCCCCATTGGATCCCTCCCCAAATCCCCACCCTAGCTCCGCCTTTTCCCCCCCAAGCATGACGCATTCCTCCTCCTCCTCCCCCCTCCCCCAGGCTTGCACGAAAGCTGTTTCGCGGCGCAAGCGCTGGGAAGGAGGGGGGAGAAGCAGGACGTGGCAACCCGCTCAGGGGAGGAGGCGGAGGCGGGGGGGAGCTGCTGGTGGGTACTCCGCACCCACCAATTTTTCCCTGTGGGTGCTCCAGCCCTGGAGCACCCACAGAGTCGGCACCTATGCCTGAGCCTTCTCTGTACTACGGCCCCACCCTTGCTACCCCCAGAGAGGCTGCTCCAGGGATGGACGCCAGGCTCCCTCTGGGATAACATCCCATGAGCTCACTATCTCAGGCCCTTCCTGCTGAGGATTCTCCTCATTCTCATTTATCTGCTGGAAGAGTAAGAAAATAACCATGGTGCCTCTGTTGAGGAGACCATCAGGGTCTGAATCCCCTCTACATTCTGGGGAGCAATTTAGGAGGTGCCAATTCTGCTCTCACTCCCCATATTAGCATCTAGAGGATGGGTGGGAGGAAGTGGCTCATTCCAGGAATGTGTCAGGATGCACAGGAAGGCCTGAGGGATGTGGGTCAGGAGGAGAAGGCACCTACTTGGTAGGATCCTGAACAGGAGACACAAGAGATGGCAGAAGAAGGCAGCCACGTGATTGGGGGCAGCCAGAGTGCAATCCACATTGTATCCATAACTCCATATGTTACACGAGACATCAGCCTCCATAGGCTCTTCCTCTGAAACACCGATCCCACCTGTGAGTGCCTCACATAGAGACCTTGGAAGGCGGGGAACTAAGGTTCCTGTTAGCTATGAAGCCCACAATCGCCACCAAGATTGACCTACCACGATTATGTGGCCTGTTCCGCAGGCACCAATCCTGCTGTGCATTAACCTACAGATTGATGGGTCCACACCTCACTATAAATCCTCTGAGCCATGCAGTTCCCTCAATTCTCCCCTCCAAGCTATCCCCTCCACACACCCTTTCCTCAGAAAGGCACCCCTAACCCCCTACATGGCTTATTACCAGTTTCCTGTAGAGCTTCCATCTCCTCTTCAGGGGCATGTGGCAACTTGTACTTGCTCCATCCTACCTCCTCCTGGGATCCCCACGTGGTATTGGGCTGTGGTGGCTCCAGCTGGGAGCTCGGAGATTCCCATAATGCTTCAGGGGTCTCCGACTCCTCTGGGGTCACTTCCTCGACCTTCACACGCACTGTGACCTGAGAAGGAACCACATGGGTCACCGTGGAACCAGGGCCTGAGAATTACGGGGGGAAGAGTCATATCTAAAAGGCCCCATTAGCAAAGAGGTCCACCCCAGGGTGAAGGCTCCCCCAACCCCTACCAGGGTTAATAGGACTTGGAGGGTCTTCCACACCAAAGTACAGGCATACAGGTGGGAAGGCTCACCCCCAAAGTGATGAGCCAATGAGGCTGACCAAGAGGAGTCCTGGCAGTCAGGGTCAGTACTGAACACTGCACAGTACTGTACATCCCTGCCACTGGGGACGTGACAGACACGTGGCATTCCGCAGCCTGCGAGCCTAGTGGGCTTCCATATGGTTCTGATCTGCAGGGTGACAGACCCACAGCTGTCCTGAGGGACACCACGGTGTGCAGCAATTCTCAGCAGTGGAGAATTTCCCTCAGTGCTGGGCTCTGCGGACACCACCAGTGGCTTGGGGGAGGGCCCCAGAGGGAGGTACCACACCCCTTCCTCCAGGGGGTACAATGAGGGCAGAAGTTCTGGTGTCTGGTCCAAGTGGGAGCCCTGCACCCTCGCTCTCTCCATCAGGGTCTGTTTACAGCATGTTTGTATACCAATTGCAAATTGCCATGTACTAATGACAGCTAAATGCCAAGTGCATATGGTGCTGTATACTTAGTGGCCAAGTCCACTCAGTCCTGAGCCCCCCATGCAACGTTCCTGGGCATTTGGTCAACTTGGGCACAGTCGACACCAACTTTGAAAATTCCCTGGGCACAAAATATCCATTGAACCTTTGTCTGGGCAAAGCTGGGTACCTGCCCTGGGGCTTCAGATGGGGTCCATTTATTGTGATTAGAAACTGCCCCTTCCCTGGCTCACATGCCAAGTGAGCAGCATCTAGCCCCAAGCAAGAAATGCTTCTCTAATAGCACATTTCAAACCAGTGACCAGTTCTGCTTGCAGTGTGCTACGGCGGCATCTCTACCAGGTCAAATGCTGAGGAGGTCGTCGTCCTGTCACCATCATCCCCAAGAAGGGCTGCTGAAGGGTACTGAGTGACCTTGCATACTAAAGAGGCAGTGCCACTTACAAACCAGAGAACACCAGGATCTGCAGAGCACTACAGAGCAGGGAGCTCTGGAAATCCCTGTAGCTGGGGACCCAGCTGAGCCCTAAGCCCCAGACAGCCCAGACCCCAGTGCTGAGAGCAGGATTACACAGAACAAGCCCCACTCATGTCCTGCCTTGAGAATTCCTATGTTCACCCAGTGCTCAAACCTGCCCCGTCAAATTCCCTGCAGAGCCCAATGGACATTCCCCTGCACCTGCTCTCACCTGCTGCTCCCACACTCCAGCCTCTCGCTGTCCCAGCTGGAAATCCTCTGCCAGGGACACTGCCTGGGCGCAGGTTTCCGGGTGACGTACCCAGACCCAGCTCTGGATTTCCTCGGGCAGGATGGTCAGGAACTGCTCCAGGATCAGCAGCTCCATGATCTGCTCCTTGGTGCGGATCTCTGGCTTCAACCATCGATGGGAGAGTTCCCGTAGGCGGCTGCAGACCTCTCGGGGCCCTTTGGCCTCCTGGTAGCGGAACTGCCTAAAGTGAAGGCGCTGCATCTCCGTGCTGATGTTGCAGCCTCGCAGGATGGCTGCCTTCACCTTCCCATAGTCTCGGGCGTCTCTGGCATCCAGGCTGCTAATGGCCTGTTGGGCTTTTCCAGTGAGGGATGGCAGGAGTCGGGTCACCCACTCTCTTCTGGGCCAATGGCAGGCTTCAGCCAGTCGCTCGAAGGAAGCCAGATAGACCTCGATGTCATCCTCTGGCTCAAGCTGTGGCAGCTGAGGGTTTCCCAAGGCAGGGTCTGGAGCTGATACAATTTCAGGAGAGGTCTGTCGGGCCTGCAGCACCTGCCGTTGCTGGGACATCCCTTCTTGTGGCTCTGTCTTGACCTGGTGTAGTCTAATTCGGGACCATCTGGGAGTTACCGTTATGGGGGGTGCCACAATGGGATCTTTTGCAGCCCGCTCGGATTCCTTCCCCGGTCCTGGTTCCAGAGGATCTCGCTTTTCCATTTTCTCTTTAGTGGGCCCCACCTGCTGCAGCCGAGCCTAGACCTGGAGGTGCAGGGGAAGTTGGCCCGCCTGCTCTGCAACCGCTCTCTGTTTTGGGGTTCGGCCTTTTCCCGGCTAGGGTCTAGGCTCTAGTTCTCAAACCTGCTTGCCTCCTTCGGGCCCCTCTTGGAAACACTGGGTAACCTGCAACAAAACAGTTCATGTGGATTTTCCTGTGTGACGGGAGAGTGACCCACAATACACAAAAGGTAAAAGAGACCCTGCCTCAACTTCCCCAAACACCCACTGGGCTGTCCCCTCCGCTCCCACCCAGCTCCCACTCCCCTCCACTGACCCTCGCCTACCCCCGATTTCCGCAGGGGCTGGGAGTGTAGGGCTCCCGACACAAAGAAACGCAGCGGCTCCTTTCCCAGCAGGGACTGGGAGACAGGAACTCCCCCCGGCGAACGCAGGGTTAATCCCCCCTCTGCACGGCGAGGACTGGCCACCATCGCTGTCAGTCAGCTGGAGAGGCGGCTTAACCCTTCCCTGCGCTCCCTCCGCTGCTTCCCAGCCGGCCCCACGGCCGGAGCTGGCGTCTGCACCGCGCTGCGAGCAGGGAGGGCGGAGCCCGGCCGCGCAGCTCGGCCTGGGGGAATCCGGCCGGGAGAGCGGGGCGGTGCTTGGCTGGGGTCCGGCCCTCGGCGCCAGGTGCACAGGCGCTGCCAGCTGCTTCTGGAGGGGATTTGCAATCCCCGTCCTGCTCTAGGGCTCATGTAAACGCTGCTGAAACAGGCTGCAGGGAGGAAACCAGGCGCTGGTTTGGGACCTGTCGCTAGAGCCTTGCTCGTTCTGCGCCCCTTGCAGCGGGCTTAACGGGAAAGAGGGAGTCATCACAGCCTAGAAACCTCAGGCTGCACGGGACCTCCAGAGGTCATCTAGTCCAACTCCCCTACCTCCGAGGCAGGACCCAGTGTCTCTCCATCTCCCGCTATAGGGCTTTGTCTAGTCGAGCTGCTGAGCACAAATGAATGAAGGACTCAGAGAAGAACGGCTTTCGTTGCCTAGCCACTAGTGCTAGGTGCCTGGGCAACACATAGGGGATTGGAATGGCTCATGTGTGAGCCTACGTTGTCTAGTTGATATTCCTGACACCTGGTGGGACGATTCCCGGGGCTGGAGTGCTGAATCCGTGGGTACAACCTATCTGGGAAGGATGGAGTGGACAGAGGGGGAGGGGTACTCTATGTCCAAAATGGGATTGCCTGTTTCTGAATCATTGGTAACACAGAAGAAAATGATCCGGAATGCTTATGGATCAATGTCCTAGCAGGTAATGCACACAATGTGTGTTAGCTGGTGTCTGCTACAGCCCCTCTAATCACACTAGGGTACTGGATGACTAGCTCCTCATGCTCTGTAACAGGACAGATTGCCCCTTTGAGGGCCTGGAGGTGGGGATGGAGGGAAGCTGATCCGGCAGGTGCTGGGAAACAACTAACCCAGCTGAACAGCACCTAGGGCTTGGGTCTGATTCCTAGCTTGAGGCTATAAATGAGGGTCCAGGTAGCTGAGGGAGGCAGGGCCCAGGAGAGAGCTGAGAGTACACTTTCTTGGGGCTGTATCCGAAGGCTCCAAGAGGGTGAACCCCCCTGAACTGAGGGAGGTCCTTCCCATTTAGCTACTGGAGGCTAGATGGCCCCAGAGCCTCAGCCCAGAACACAACTATTTTTGCTTTTATTACTCCACGCTTGCTTTCTGTTTGTATGTTGGAGAATAAACAAAGCCCTGAGGAAAGGGCTACAAATGGAACTGAGTGGGGCTGAGTGCTACTCAAAGCCACCAGCTGCCGTGCACCAATCTATAATGTGTAGTAGAGAGAAAAACTGTGTGATCATGGGGGACTTTAATCTGAGAAACGTACAGCTGGAAGTCTCATGCTGCCATTACTAAAACATTCCTGGAATTTCTGAACATTACAGCTAACAATTTCCTAAGTCAAAAAGTGTTGCATCCAACATGGCGGAATCATATATTAGACCTCATCTTGAGAGATAAAGAGGAACTGATCACAGAACTATTAGTTAATGGTAGCTTAGGTACAAGTGGTCATGGTATGATCACATTTATAATGTGCAAATAGAATACAGTCCAGACCAGTAATTATATATATAATGCTTTAAAAGAGCCAGTTTCACAAAGGTGCAAACAGTTACAAGCCAAATCAGCTGGGAGAAAGAATTTAATCGGAAAAACTTGAATGATAATTAGTATTTAAAAACACTTTACTAGATGCCTGGAAAGCCACAATCGAGGAAGAAGGCCATATTGTTTAAAAAACCGACATGGTTTACAGGGGAAGTGAAGGCAGCTATAAATAACAAAAAATGATAGATCACAAATGGAAGAAAGAGGAAGTTGATAATGTAAATCAGAAGCTAGGAACTGTAGAAAACTGTAGAAAACTGATAAATCTGTCACTAGCAGAGTTAAGGAAAATAAGGAGGAGGTTTTTTTAAATTATAGTAGGAACAAAAAGAATCCTGACAGTGGTATCGGTCCCTTCCCAGATGGAAATGGTAGAAATATCAGTAACAATACAGAAAAGGCAAAAGTGTTCAATAAATATTTCTGTTCTGTATTTGGAAAAAACAGATGATATAGTCTCATCATAAGGTGATAACACTCTTTGGATTTGTACAAGATGGAACACCACCAACAGTGCTGCCTAGTGAGCAGGCAGGGGTGTGGCAGGTCACCTCTCAGTTGCAAATATCATTCTGTCCTTCAATGCACCTTCAAGGGTTTCCAGTCCTTCCCTTTAGCATGGGGACTTTGTGGGTCTGGACCCTTGAACGGTCAGGGTCTTCCCCAGGTAGGTTCTTCCCCAAGGTGAAGCTCCTGTTGTTCTCATGTCTTCTTGGAATGGGTAGGGAAGCACTGCCCTCTCCACCGGGCTCCAGTCCAAGGCCCAATGGTGGGCAATTACGCGCTGCACCTTGGGGTGCTAATCAGCCCCCTCCCCCAACCACTTCCTACACAAGTCTCCTTTTCCCCACAGTAACAGAGAGTCCTGTGGCACCTTTAAGACTAACAGATGTATTGGAGCATAAGCTTTCGTGGGTGAATGCCCACTTTGTCGGATGCATGTGACATGGAAGTTTATGTTCCAATACATCTGTTAGTCTTAAAGGTGCCACAGGACTCTCTGTTGCTTTTTACAGATCCAGACTAACACGGCTACCCTTCTGATACTTTTCCCCACAGTGTAAATCAAAAAGTCTCAAGTAAAGTCTCTGACCTGCACAATCAGTCCTCTGCCTCTTTTTTGTAGGTTTGCTCAAGTCTCTGGCAATGAGCTCCTGGGCTGTATTTCTCCCAAGAATTTAGAGCAGCTATCTGCTCCCTTCCATTGCCTGCCTCCTTCTGAGCTCCTCTGCTTCTCCTTTCAAGCCCCTCCTCCAGCTTGTTCATGCTTTGCAGGTGTGGTTGTGGGGGGGGCTGCCTGGGCCCGGAGCTTTTCCTTAACACCTTGCTCTTCAGTGTGCAGTTTGTACGCGTCATCATACCATTCCACTAGTATCTCACAAGGATGTTAAACAGCAGCTACTAAAGTTAGACATTTTAACATCAGCAGGTCCAGACAACTTCATCCAAGAGTTATAAAAGAGCTGGCTGAGGAGCTCACTGGACCATTAATATTGATTTTCAATAAGTCTTGGAACACTGGGGAAGTTCCAGAAGACACACAGAAAGCCAATATTGTGCCAATATCTAAAAAGGATAAATGGGATGACTCAGATGATTATAAGCCTGTCAGTCTGACATCGATCCCAGGCAAGATAATGGAACGGTTGATATGAGACTTGAGTAATAAACAGTTAACATAATTACAGTAATACCAATCAACATGGGTTTATGGAAAATAGATCCTGTCAAACTAATTTGATTTTTTTTATGAGATTACAAGTTTGGTTGATAAAGATAATAGTGTTGATGTAATATACTTAGACTCCTGTAAGCTATTTGACTTGGTACCACACAACATTTTGATTAAAATTCTAGAACAATATAAAATTTAGCCCACATTAAATTGATTAAAAGCTGTCTGATAGATCTCAAAATGTAATTATAGACATCGAATCATTATTGAATGGTTGTGTTTCTAGTGGGATCCTGCAGGGATTGGCTCTTGGCCCTACACTATTTAACATTTTTATTAATGACTTGGAAAAAACAAAATCATCACTGATGAAGTTTGCAGATGACACAAAAATTGAGGGAGTGGTAAATAATGAAGAGGACAGGTCACTGGTATAGCACAAGCTGCATCGCTTGGTAACCTGGGCACAATCAAACAACATGTGTTTTAATATGGCTAAATGTAAATGTATCCATCTTGGAAAAAAGAACACAGGCCAGACTTACGGGCAGGGTGAGGGGAACGGACTCTGTCCTGGGAAGCAGTGGTACTAAAAAATACCTGGGGGTTGTGGTAGATAGTCAGTTGAACATGAGCTCCCAATGTGACACTGTGGCAAAAAAGGCTAATGTGATCCTTGGATGCAGCTGCTGCTGGAATACTATGTCCAGTTCAGGTGTGTACAATTCAAGAAGGATGTACATAAATTGTAGACAATTCAGAAAAGATCCATAGGAATGGTTAAAGGATTAGAAAACCTGCCTTAGAGTGATAGACTCAAGGGGCTTAATCTATTTAGCTGAATCAAGAGAAGGTTAAGGGGGGACTTGATCACGGGCTATAAGTACCTACATGGGGAGCACAGATTTAACAAAGGGCTCTTCAAGCTAGCAGAGAAAGGTAGAACACAATCCAATGGCTGGAAGTTGAAGCTAGACAAATTCACACTGGAAATAAGATATACATTTTTAACAGCGAGGGGAATTAACCTTTAGAACAATTTACCAAGAGTTGTGGTGAATTCTGCATCCCCGACAATTTTTAAATCATGATTGGCTGTTTTACTACAATATTTGCTCCAGGAATTATTTTGGGGAATGTTCTCTGGCCTGTGCTATACAGGAGGTCATGCAGC